AGGGCTGGGGGGCGGCATGAAAGGGGGGGGGAGAGGGGGGGTTGGGAGGCTGGGTCTGGGTCGTCGGAAGGAAGGCGAGGATTCATGGGCGCGGCACGGGCGAGGCTTGGGTGCCGAGAATGGGAAAGTGCACGCTTGAGATGGTAGTTTGAGGAGGGGGAGGGGTGCGAGGAGGTTGCCGCAGTAGGGGGTATGGGAGGATGGGATTTCATGAGATGTACAGCCCCGAAAGGACCAGGCGCCCACTGAAGAGAGCGATTGGTGTGACATGGCCGCCTGTACGGGTCGATCTGGGCAAGGTCATGACTCAGCAGGGCACGGGGTTGCGCCTGTCAAGTTTCACGTCCCTGCCCGCCAGAAGGGTTTACACATGCACATCCGCGACAACACACGCTTGCACGCGCACACTCACAGCCACACAACCACACAACACGCGCAAGGACGTGCAGAATAGCACGCCCTGGCACCGTCCAGATGCACCGCCCGCCCGCAGGGAGCGCCCCCTTTGCCTCAGGACAGATTTTTGTCCGCAGCGCTCGCGGGCGCGAGGCCCGAGCGCACTCGGTAAGATAACGCAGTATTGTCGAAAGCATCATCGGCAGGGACGCCCCCACACGCGGCCCAGGCAAGCCACCCCTGCGACCAAAGACAACCCCACGCAATCGCGCCGGCACCAGACCCCCTGGCCAACGCGCCGGCCGCAGCGAGCCACACATGCCCCCGTCTCGCCCCGCAGCAGCGTCAGCGCCGCGCCGACAATGATGTCCCCGCCGCCACACCGCCCCGGCAAGGCTCACCCGGTACGTCCTCCTTTGGCGCCACATTTATGAGCTTAGTCACCAGGTAGTGGCCGTACTTGGAGCGCGCCAGCTCAAAGGCGTGGGCGCGCACCTCCTTGGCGATGGCGGCCCGTGCGTCTGGGGCGCCCTCCTTGAGGCAGAACTGGATGACGCGCGACGCGGTGTGCTGGTTGGCCAGCTCCAGGACCTTGCCCCTGAACTGGGGGATGGGGTTGGGG